GGGGTGGAGGGTCATAACAATATTATAGGCATCAGGCAAATTTTACTGTTGCGCAACCAAAATCCGCCAACCACCCCCTCCCCCTCCACTTAGGCGATAAATAATAATTAGCCCCATGAGTAAAAGGCCCGCAGGCCTGAAAGACGAGTTGTGAAGTTCTGCATCTGTACGCTAATTTGTGCAGCCGGCATTTCATTTTGGAAGGTTTCCGCTAAGGAAAAATGAAGGCGTTTATTTTGAACTGGTTTGATTTAAGTTTATTTCTAACTTCTCTGTAGTTTTTAATGAGGAATATAAGTAGCACTAAAATATCAGATCTATTTCCCCTATTTGTTAACTCTACAATATTCGAGAAAGGATATAGCACTCCGGCTCTTTGCATTCAAAGGATCGTTGATAACAGGACTGTTCACGCATGCAACACAATCTGACTGTTTAAAACAATATTGAGAGATCTTTAAACTAGCATATATCGAAAACAAACAACAAAACAAGACAAAAACATATGTGAATGATACAGGAACTCTAGCAGCGTTATAGAGAAAATAAAACACGAGAATACTCTCGGATTTTAACCAGCCCCTCCTTTGATAAAATATGGTTATTTTAATAGATTACTTAACAAAACGTTTAGCGAGATTATTTGAATGGTCTCAAATTGAACTCCCTTTTAACAAAGTGATACGCAATTCAAGAGCGTGGCTAGAGGGTTTTCTTGAGTACATCTTTGCTAAGAAGGGGTAATGACTTCGATTAATGGCAAAATATCCTGATATACTCCTAAATTTCAACAAAACGCTTGGTAACCCGCCCTACCCCCTCACCCTCTGAAGTAAAGGCATCTTTACGCACCATAACTTGCAGAACCATCCAGATGTTAGATCGGGTAAACTTTTAAAAAGCTAATAAACTCTGGGCGTTAGTTGTTTATCTGTCGCAGAGAGATAAAGTATGATTTTTTTTAACGAAATTTAGCAATGTATTTTAGCTTAAAGCGCGCAGCAACTCTATCATTCGTTCTTTAGTTTTGGCCACAAATTTAAGTCATCAGAACTCGATTTCCAGACGTTTAATATTTACAGTCGAGATAGCCCAATCTGTTTTGCCAATGTCATATTTATGTGACTCTTTGACAAATTATCACGGAACTATATTCTCCCAGCGCACTGTGTAAATGCCAAAGTAAATCCCGAGGAAGATCGTGTAGGATAGAGGAAAAACTATCCTGGAATACTTATCCAGATAACAGATCTCTTCTTCGCCATCTTCAATTGTCTTTCTAATCATTTGAATCATAGAGGGTCGTCTGTGAAGCTTCTTCAGTTGATCCCGGTTTGGCTGTCGTTTAGGATTATTGGTCAAACTAGGCGTGGGTTCCACGATTCTCACAGTACGCCCTGGCTTAGTGTGATTATTAACATTAAAGCTCACGGGGATACCGTCTGTTCTTGGTTTACCATGTTGAAAGTCATATGTTTTGCTACCGATGGATACTGACACAGAAACCTAAAAGAATAATGGAACTCCTTAGAAATGTCATTCTAAGACGACGCAGTA